TTTTTTGCATTGAAAGCTGCACTAAATCGATAACCAGATTGTCTACAAACCCATTGTTGATATATTAAATGTGGAAGATTTATAATTAATGCAAGAAAAATAAGAAAAAATATAATTTTTTTTGCGCATTGTAAATTACATATTTTACGTGATAAATTTGGACATTGTTTTGACCAGGGATCACATAAAAGGATTAAACGATCAAATGTTAAACCAACAATTGTCCAACAAGCAAGTAAAATACAAACATGATTTGAATATTCATAAATTTTACAAATTATTGATGAACGAAAATGTAAAATATTTATTGAAAATAAATAAACAAGTAAACTATTTAATGATTGAAAACATTCGAATAATAACGAAAAAAAATCGAATATTGCTAATGCACGAAGATATTGAACAAATGAATGTTGTGGTAATGCAAAACGACATACAACCAAAAAACAGATTGTATTACCAATTAAACCAATTCCACCAAAACATAATGTACCTAATTAAATATTTTACTTTTTAATCATTATTATTTAGATTTAAACAAAATCCGTATTATTCATTATAAACATGAAATAAAGATTATATTATACTCTAGATCATTAAAAGAAAATATTTTTTTTCTTTTTCTTTACAGTTTTTTTCCTCAATGCATTTAGTGACATATACCACATCGGCATATTCTTCTTTGTTAAGTGATTAGAATATACAGACATATGCTTTAGGCACTACAAAATGAAATAATAATGTCAATTACTCAGAAAAACTCTTATACCGGTTCTTTATAATTATATTAAAAGAAAAATGAGCAGCAACTTATAATTTCTTTTTTTTTCTTTTTAAAAGTTGATATGACTGAATTGGAAAGATTTTGTTTATATGGAGAAAAAAAGCCTTGACTACGTTTACTTGTAACAATCAAGAGTATCCATTATTTGGAAAATCAATGAAGCGATTGTCATTCCAATGACATATTAGTTATTTTTCTTTGTGATAAATATACAAATAATAAGATGTGAGTATGTCAAGAATATTTTATCGTAACAAAACAATAAATAAAAATAAAAAAATCTTACCAATAATATTTGTCCACCACCACCATGAACCAGCATCATCATCCATCGCATAATTTAATGTTGTACCAGAATAATTTTTTCTTTGAAATTCTTCTGTACAATTCATTTTTTGAATATTTGAAATAAAAAATAGGAAAGATTTGATTTTTCTTCTTATCTTTATTTAATAGTTCAATAACTGACCATGATCTAGAAATATTAAATGTATGAATAGTTAGATAGATATGACTATGTGCGTGTCGATGTTTGTTAAAGAAATACAAGGGTATGACGAGTGCGCTATTTCCTTCTTTTTTTTTTTTCTTTTTTTCTAACAGAAGAGAAAAAAGCGACTGTCAGAACAATAAGAAGCCATTTTTTCTTTTATCCATGGCTTTCGCTCTCTGTCATCTCTCTTATCGTCGTTCTTACCATTCCACTTCGACTCATAAAGTTCAGATATGCCTACTCTTTCATCAACTGGAAATGAAAAGTCATAATAATAATAAGAATGTTTATTTGCAACAACTATAGTCATTATTATTCGATGTCTCCTCTCTTCAGTTAATAAAACACAATGATATGTTTTGTTTTTTTACTCATAATGTTGTCCTACTCAAATATCTGTTTTCATCACGTTCCTCAATTAATTTTAATGACTCACAAAAAAGATCATATTTACGATGCATACTGCTGAGTTACAAATACCAGAAAGACTCAAGATGACAAATTACAAATTAATAAAAAAATATATTCATACAAAATATTACAAATAAAAATCACTGCACGATATGTCATAGTATAGTTACATTTTCGAAAATAAAAAGAAGAATTTTACAATTGATGTCACTCAATAGACAAAAATAAGAAAAAACATGTCTATTATATACGCACCGATTCTAATATCTCTGCTCTTTTTTTTCAGTACAAAGAACAATAGTTCTTTTTTTTGTCTCTCTCCTATTGCCTTCATCTATATCTATTGTTAAGGACCTTTTTGTTTATATATAAATATGTATATGTCAAAAAAAATACGGCAACAGCTAACAAGAATAATACTGCTAATCAAATCTCCTGTGTAAATATAAAGACGAAAAAAAAAAATAGAAAAGAAACAAAATCAAGTTCTTGTTCATCTATTGAGTAATCAGAAGAAGAAGAAAAAAAGAATTATTTTGCTCTCAGTTCAAATCAACAAATATCTAATTACATTTTGGATGTTATACTGTATGGAATAATATTTAAAAACAAAAACAAAAAAAGAAAGAAAAATGTCTGCAATTTAATATTGAAAATAATAGACAGAAGTAAAGAAAGACGTCAGACTACTTACAGCAGGTGTATGTCATTCTCATATATATGAGTATTAGTTTTTGCTTCTATTTCGATTCTAAAAATGTAATATTACCCAAGCAAATGTATGTCATATGATAATATAATTAATTATGTTAATGAATTATATTGAAAATAAATTTGTTTGAAATATTTTATATTAGAAAATAATTCATAAGGAAAAAGAAAGATGGAATATGATAATATAAAAGAAGTAATGTTCTTCCGTTTAAAGAGAAATCATTGTTGATTCTATATTTGAAAACGTTTTTGTTCTCATATATATTTTGACAATGATTAACAATGATATTCCCCAGAGGACTTCCATAATCGTAGCTATAAACATGTGTCGAACATCATAGAACAAACTATATATCGATCGATGGGAATAAGGGAAGAAATCAGAAAGAATATATTGATCAATGATTTATGATTTCATCTTATTTCATACACGATTGATAAATCATATAAATCAACATAGAGCAATTGTTTTCCAATGAATGTATATATATATATATTGGGGAATAATATTTGTACTTATCAAGAAAACAACTTAAAAAGAAACCATTTTGTCAATATTAAGTAGACCATTTCCATGTTTCCTGATGTTTTCTCAAATATGAAAAAAAACAAGTTTTCTTTTTCTTTCCTAAAATGTCTACAAACAACATTTCTTCCGTTTCTATACTTATTTTTCTTTATATTTTCACATCCATTTATCTTTCATAATGCTTAAATAGGAAGTTTTAACGGTACGTGAGCTATTGTAAGTGGTAACATATTGTATTAGTTATTGTATAAAAATAGCTCTTACAAAAATATACAATCAATAAAAATGATAGAATCAAGATAATTATGAAATTATCGATTGTATCTTTTTTTGCTTAGAAAAAACAAGATTTTTATTGATGGAATCTATTCTTAAGTAAATATATGTTGTTACGTAGTTATATTTTAAAGATTTATTTCATTAATAAAATGTCATATTTGACATAAAAATCTTCTTTAGATTTTAATCCTTCTTATTAGCTTTTTAAACTAATATTATAATACAACATTAATTCCATAGTGTGATAAAAATATATTCACTGTAAATCCGACTACACCTACCTGTTCTTTAGATTTATTTAATGAAAAGAACATTTTCTAATTATTAAATAAAAATAATTTTTCTTCTAGAATTAAAATAGTTTATCATTAAGATATTCTTCAATAGATTGAATGAGTAACAAAAAAAGAAAGATGTTTTTAATAAGATTAATACATTAAGTAGAGTTTTTTGTATAATTTGTAATTGTATCTGTATTATATATCATGTCTCTTCTCATATAAATCATAAGATATTGTTATTATCACTGGAAAATATAATGTTTCAGATTTCCTAATTATCTCCGACATATGAAAATAATAACGTTGCGATAATTAATATCAGATGAGAAACATTGGCTTATTTTTTCCTTAAATGAATTTATTTTTCAAATCTAAATAAGAATTTCTGTTTGTAAAAGAAAAATGTTATTGTATTGATATAAATTCTTTTGGAAAACATTTCTAAATAATTAAATAATAGATTTCCGTAAATAAAAGAAAAAGATAAATCCGATAGGAAAGTGCTTTGATGAATGCTTGAATAAAAAAAGATGTCTATCGTATTTGTATTGCAACAATTTTTCCCTTGAGCGCAATGCTTGTTGTATCACTCATTGAAAATAGAATTTCTTCTTTTTTTTTGTTAAATAATAAAAAAACAAAGTGACTAGTTTATGAAACAATTATCTAGATATGATACTCTTTCATTTAGAGAGAACAAATGATTTTTATTGTTCATCTTTTGTATAAGGAAATGTGAGAGAATAACAAGACATCTATCAACAAATAAAGAAACAATGAGAATTTTATACAGAAGAAAACAAATGTTATTCTGTTGGTGTAATATAAGCTCTAAGAATGGTAATATCATCAACAGGTCTATCATTATCACTTGTTTGAATAATTGATATTTTTTGTAAAACATTTATACCTGAATGCATTCGTCCAAAAATTGTATGTAATTTATCTAATGATTGAGTTGGAGCTAATGTTAAAAAGAATTGTGAACCATTTGTATTTGGACCTGCATTTGCCATTGATATTATACCAGCACCTTAAACAAATTCAAAATATTTAGATATATATTAATAGAATTCTTTCGATCTTTCTTCATGTTATTTCACGATCTAATTTTAGACGAGAGAAAAAAAACTGCTTAAAAAATATATTAATATAATAAAATAAATAATTTATTAAATTATGTACCGATGTTTTCTATGATTGCTTTTTCTTTTTCTTAAGAGGAAAACAACGTCGAAAAGAAAATAGATTTCTTAGTCGATTTTTATTTAGTTTTTTTCAAAATAACAAAAGATTATTTGATGAAATTAAAATGAAAAAAGAATTTCGTTTTTGTTTTTTGTTTTTAAGTAGATTAAATATTTCCATAACTTTCTTTTTATTTCTATGTACATGTCGATAGACATAGAAATGTCGAGTTTTTGTTAGATTTCATTATAAATGTTCGAAGATAAGTTAATTATACAGTTTTTTTTTTGTTACAAATTATTTGATTAGACGTTTGAGACGTGACTATTTATCAGTTTTTTTGATAGATGTTACAATTTGGAATATATTTTCTTTTGAAGTACAGTTAGGCGTAGTTAATCAACTTTGTTTTTATCGCAGAAAATAAGAACATCAAAGAAAAAAAGACATGACAAATATAGAAATTTGATTTTGATTCTTAAAAAATAGTTAATTATTATTAAAACTAAAAAAAGTAATATTCTATTTAATATTTCTAGTGAAGATTATTAATCCGTTTGAAGTTTAATAATACAAAAGAACTATTTTTATCAAAATAAACAAATCTAAAAATATATTTTTGCAACTTATTCTCAATAAATATAGAAAGATTTTTATGAACTTCTTCAAAAAAAAACAATTATTATTAAAAGAATTCAAGATAATTACTCAACTAGAAAAAATTTCATTTTTTATTTCTTGATTTTTCTAATATATACCAGTTTTTATTTATCAGATTAGTTATATTCTCATTTGAAATTATTTCGAAATCTATTCAACAGAAAAAAAGTCTACCTACGTTATATTTTTTTCTGTTCTGATGAGTATTATTATTTCTACATTAACGAATAAAAGAATCTAACACATTTGACACAAGATAAACAAATTGTTAGAAAACGAACAGTTATTCCGCTAAAATTAATCAACCAATAACTAATGAAATAATGGAAAAAACATGACTATGCCTTATTATATATATAGAAATCTATTTTACACTTCACAGAATTATTAGATAATCAGCTAGAAAAATTTACTATCTCATGTCTACAAATTGTTTTCTTAAATTCTTCTATAAATCTGTTTGTTTTATTTATATCACATCATGAAATCTTAACTTGTTTTTTGTCAACTAATTATTATGATAAGTTAAATCGATTTAGAAAATGTTTTTTTTTCTTTAGAATAAAAATGAAAATAATTTCTTAATTAATATTTTAACTAAAATTGGAATGTTATTCTTAGTTTTTAGATCAAAATAAACTAAATTGTTTTCTTATCTTGAATGAGCTCATAAAAAGTTCTTAATAATATTTGAAATATTTATTTTTAGTTTTTAATAAAGATAAAAAGTGATGATGTTTATTATCATTGTTCATGTACCTGGAAGAAACTTAAATGGAAATATTTCTTTATCTGATATAAATATAGATAATCATAAATATTTTATCGAAAACAACAGACGACAATCTCATTTATATTGATTGTTTATTAAAATTTGTTAATTTAACATATTGTTAGATTTTCAACGAACAATATAACAAATCATTAGGGATATCTCTCTAAGGCAATTTTCTTTCTATTTCGAATAGCTAGATTAGTTAGAGCAGAAAAATGTAAAAAGATAATTTTATTAAGAAACGATATATTGTTAAGAGAAAGGATCTATTGAGACATCTAATTACGAAATAAATAATCAATATTCTAATAGAATATCTATTCATACCGGTATGTTTTAATAATGGTGTAATTTCATCATTAAAATATTTTCCATAAATCGATGCACCTCCACGTCCTGTTCCAGTTGGATCTCCACCTTGTACAATAAAATCTTTAACAACTCGATGAAATTTTGTTGAATTATAATAACCACGTCGAGCTAATTCAGCAAAATTTCGACATGTATTTGGTGCATGATCCCAATAAAGTTCAATAATCATTTTACCCATACTAAAATATAAATAATAAGAAAAAATATTTTTAAACTAAAAAAAAAGAAAAAACATACGATGTATCTAATGTAACATATGGTGGTTTCCAATTATCTGGTGGAATTGCTGATAATGATGAATCATTCGTATTGACTAAGTGCATTTTATTTTTGAATCTAGAAAATATTCAAGCGATTTAATATATATTTGTTTCTTGGTTTTTTTTTTTATAAATATTTTTATTTTGTTGATACAGATAGAAACTGTTCAAATAAAACAAAACTAATCTGACAAAAGACTAGAGTAATGAATATTATTGATGATGATGTTGTTGCTGTTGTTGTTGTTGTTGATAAAGAGCTGAAGCTCGTTTACGTTTTGCTTTACTTGATGCTGATGGTTTTATTCCTTGTGCTGATGCTGTTGAAGAATTTGAACGATGACATTTGGGACAAAACCATGGAATTGATTCGGGAGGTTCTTTAACAATACCAACACATTCCCTAAAATTAAATTTTATTTATATTATTTCAAAAAAAAGAAATTTTAACGAACCAATGATACCAATCATCACATAGATCACATGCAATCATCGCTTCTTGACCATTATCTGGTCTATTACATGATGGACATATCCAAATCTTTTCTTGAGAATCATGATTAATCTAAATTTATATTCAAAGAAATTATAATATCGAATTTATTCTACGAAGAACATCTCTTCATTTAATTCTACATAGACATAGAAATAGGAATAGAAATTATTCATTAATAATTTAAATTATATCGAAATTTTCTACGTTAGAATTTATTAATTTGTAAAAAAAAAACTCTTTATATGTTTAATATTCCAATGAATAACTTTGCTCTTTCGAAAAATTTCCATATTTTTCCATAGACAGTCGGATATAGATTAATAATGAAATATTTTAACTTTTTACTAAAGATAGCAAAGTTTATTCTAGTTTATCTGTCGATTTTCAAATTGTTTTTTAAATAACCAATGGAAAGAAGAGAGATGAAATCAAACTATTTATACATTTGTTGTTTCTATTGAACACAATTAGCATTCATCAAACGGAGATACTACTTTATAATAGGAAATTGATCTTGACAAACGGGGCCGGAATGTTTTTCTATGTTATTGATAATAGTTATATACAAAGTGGAAGAAAAATATTTTCCCATGAGATTGCCGCAATAATTTCAAATAGAAGATCGTATGAATTTTATACCAAATGAAGGATCGTCAAAAATAGAATTTATTAATATTAAACAGCAACTTTTACAAATACAACATCTGTTTTTCAGTAGAAAAATAAGGCACTAGAAATTCAATAATGAAATAAACATTTTTTCTTCGGATATTCTTGTATGGTTTGATAGAATTCTACAAAACATTTTTGAAAATATAAAAAAGATTAATAAACTCATTTTATTTTGATCATTGTCACCAGGAGAGAGACGTTTCTAGATAGATTCATCCGATGTAGTATAAAAAACTATATCTAATGAGTCTACCTGGAGGCGTCTCCATTAGTATGAATAATGAAGAAAGTACATCTATATTTAAAATACTCTAGCACTTTTCTTTGAAATGAAGAACAAAATGAGTTTAGAGATATTTTTAGTATTTTCCAAGAGGCTTTTTACATTTTTTCCTCGAGAACAGTACTTGAAAGGTTTTTTTACTTTACAAAGTTTTGCAGAGCTCGATGAGCTTTCATCCGGTATAAAATATTCTAAAAATTCATTTTGAACAATATACGATTTCTTTAACTAATTGATTTTGATTAGAAATATTCTGATTATCGGAATGATTTGTATATTTGTAAATGTTGAATAAAGAAAAAAACTTACACGTCTTTCTTCAATAACTGCAACTCCAACAATATTATTTGCTCGTTTATTATTTGATTTCTTTTTAACAGCAGGATTTGATGATTTTTTTTTAACAGGTGTTGAAAGAATAGGTTGAGATAAATTTGTTTCAATATTATTTACAATTGGTTTATTGGGTGAAGTTCTTTCACCAAGTGGTAGATCATCAATTGAAACCGTATTATCTTCATGTAAAGATATATCTGATGTCGAATTGACTTCATTTTTTTGTGGGACACGTTTAACTTTTCCTGATTTTCGACGATGTGGTGTTGGATTTATTGTTGAAATAATTGGA